ATAGATAGATAGATAGATAGATAGATAGATAGATAGATAGATAGATAGATAGATAGATAGATAGATAGAGTGAAATTCAAGGTGCTGTTGACTCATGAGTTATGAAAAGAAATAAAGAATAGAAAGTATTTAAATAAATAGGAAAGCATACAGAGTTGCCCAGCTAAAACAGTATAAACACAATATGAAATAACTATTATTATACTGTAGAACTATAGTATGGTTCTATATGTACAGGATGGCTGATGCATAGATATGTAGATAGTTCACCATGTTAGGGGAATGCAGTTGTTTTGATTTTGAGTGTAAGACTAGAAATCCCATAGCACTCCGTTGTTTGGTGTGTAAATATTGAGCTACCATCAGCATCATGATAACTTCCCATGAAATGGTTTGCAGAGTCACACATTTAGGTGTTTTTTATATAAACAGAGGCTATAGAACTCAGTATCCTCCAAATTCCTATCTGTAATCCAGGCAGCAAGGACTGTATGATTTTGATCATTAGGGGGGCCACTGCCAGTGGCAGGCCCCCCTATTATTTACATTTTTATTTTCATTGTGAATGTGCATTTTACTAATCTTCATCATATCTGATCTATTAAATATTTGTTTGATATTGCTGACAGTTAAATTAAAAAGAAAGACAAACAAAATAGTCATGATCTCAAGATGAGGCAGAGGGTTGCTTAAATACCATGTTTTACCACAAGATGGCGTCAAAGACCTGAAACAGAAATGGGACTCTTCAGCTTAGGGGCTACCGTTCAAACTATTGATCACACTGATATGAAATATTCAACAAATGATACTTCATGCACGTAGGTGGAAAGAGGAGCTGCACCATTCGATGTGTCCTGACCTTTGCTAAATGTACATAGATGTCTTTAGGTGTTTGTCTTTTACTGCATTCATTTTCTACTAGTTGAATAATGAGGACAGTTAAGACCATGTTCTTCATGATAAGTTTGTTCAGTGGGAACAGTTTGCTATACTACCACTTCTTGTGCAGATACAAAGTGTTGCAGCAGAGTAAGGTCAAACGTATTAATCAAATACATTATTTCAGAGCAACCTTTCATCCTTCAAGTTCCTTTCTTTGTTGTGCTCAAAGTTGAGGGGATAGAGCCTATCATATGGTGAGAAGGTACACCGTGTGCATTCTGTCTGTCCACCACAGGGCTCACCAAGAGACAAACAAACGTGTGCGATCACGCCTACGGTGGATTCAGAATCAAAGTTAACCTAACATGTGCTCGCTGGCACAGGAAGTACAAGTAAACTTCACACAGAGAGGCTCCGGCCAGGTTTCATAACACGTGCTAACTACCACACTGTTGCACCAGTTCTTCCAGTCTGAGCACTGACATGGAAAATGCAGAATGTACTTTTTAGATATATTATGACATGGTATGTGTCACACATGTATCTTGTATTAAAAGAACAGTTTCTTCAGTTGAGGGAAACATTAAATTCCCATGTTCTGATATCCCCTTTATTCCGGAGCACTTGAGTCTAAAGACACTACTTTAACCCTGACTGATTGTGTTGCACCAAATAAAAATACACAAGAGATGAATGAACTTCCATTCATATTAAGTTGGGTTAGGAGAAGCTCTAAAGTTTGGTAAGGGCAAGACCATTCATTCCTTGCAATTTAATTGAATGGGCTAAAAATTGTATTTAACACAGAGCATATGGTGATTTTTTTAGCTGTTGACTAACCCCCACTCTGCTGTGTAAGATTATGAAACCCCTGGCCCCCATTTCATTCATCTAGAGGCCACATCAGCATTCACATGCTAAAATTCCACTACACGTATGGCTGGCGACATGCCAGGGTTCAGTTTTCATTTTGTTGTGTTGCCTCGCACTAAATATACACATACAAATAATAACCAATCAATACAAGGCTGCAAACTAGTGAGCGACACCGTGGTAATTGTATGAACTTAACAACCTAGCTCACAGGAGAGTGCATTATGCAATTGGATTCCATCATGTTAGTGCTACCGAGTAAGAAAAGAGGAAAATTACAACCATTGCAGAGGGACTAAAGAGAGTGAGACCTAAATAATAAAACTTAAATTCTAAAATGTAAATGTCAATCATTTGTTTCAGTAGCTGGTGTGGAACAGACCACACGTACAAACGCATGCATGTATTACATAACTCTTAGCAATGATGTTTGACTTTAGCTTCTCATGTCACTTCTGTACAAAAGGAAGTAGTTGATTTTTAGAAGCCATAAAGACTGCAGTTGGCATAACTAGGGTAAAGGTTTGTATGAGTGGTGGGAGTGGATTAAGGACATATGGTAGACACCACACCCAAGTAGACCTGCCTGAACGTGAGACTACTAGAGAGAAACGGGGTATGCCATGTGGGAAAAACAAATCTACGCTTTTCTTAACGAATGGTTTTTAGACACATGCTCTGTTTGCAAAACCACATATCGGTTACTTATCTCCAACTACTAAAACTACTGCTATGTTCCTCCTAACATCTTTCCAGATTCACTGGTAACATCACACACTGTAGAGTTAATGATACGGTGGGCAGCCGGAGTTCAAAAATAATGAAAGAACCTCAGGATAGCAAGAACAAAGCTGATAAATTTCCTGTAACTGGGATGTGGATGTGATATTTGTTGTGTGGCTGTTAGAGGGCAGACAGTACCCCTGAGGCACAAAATGCTGACCCCGCCGTATTTGGACAAGTGCTGCTTTCAAAGGATGCTGCATGTGACCGTCTCAACTAGGCTGATTGGCTTAAGTGACACAACAAACCACTCTCTATCCTGTTCTTGGGATTTTCCTTTTTTTTTTACAAGGAAGGAAGGTTTTGCTAAGAAGATCAAAGGAGGCTCAGCTGATCTGTCATTCTTAAACTTGAAGGTAATTGAAGGTAACTCATGGTAGCATAAATAAGTCCACTCTGTTGAGGAAGCTCCATGTTTTGGGGGAAATCTAAGGATATAACCAACAAAAATAACTCTGGAAAACTTTGCAAAACCGCACACAGACAACCTGTTGATTAACTAATGTGTTCAGTCAGAGGCTTCTTCATATTTTTTGTGATAAGAGCTAATACAGGTATGGTTTCTTGCCCATGTCAATATCCTTACACAGGTTGTCAAAGTTCTTCTTTTTTATCTATTTTGTATTCAAATATAGGTATGATTTTTTTCCCTCATGTAAAAAAAAAAAAAAAACACAAAAAGAATCTTTTGTTAGAGGAAAATGTGCATCAACTTTATTCAGTTTGATCCAACCTGTCACTGACATGGTTTGGTGAAAAAATGTTATGCTTATCCAATCTAATCAAGTTTATTTAGATATTTGCTGCCAAGTTCGTAGAGTCTGTCATAAACAAAAGGTGAAAACGTTCTGCATGCATCCTTTAAAGATAAAAGACAGAAAGGAAAAGCAATGGTTCTGTGTGCAGGTACTCAACACTTAACACAGGTTATGAATATCCCACTTCATGTGTTGTTGGAGATGCACACAGAAAAAATTGGCCACGTGTCCTGGTAATTTATTTAGAATGAAGCCTGTAAGTGCACAAGTGTTAGATTTTCCATCCTACAAGTGTTTTTACAGAGCAGCCATGTCCCAACAAGACTCTATCAATATTTCTGTAAAAAAAAAAAAAGGTGGGTCCTTAAAAGCTTCTGGTGACGTGTTTTTAGGTTTTCATTGTCACACATCATGCAAATACAAGTAAAAAAAGGTGCGGCAGGCCATGGTTTTTTGTACCCTCTCCGTTATGCAACGTATTCGTTAAACTGAGAAATGTCTGCGTTGAGGTTGAAGGTACGTTAGCTCTGGTTTAAAGGCTCCCCACCTTCCTCTCTCCCCCCTTACTGCTATCGACTGTTACATAACATTTATGCCTGGAGCACGTGGCTGCGATCATAATAGACGGCAAATACGCGGAGCGGTTTAAACATTACCACTCAGCCCCGGGTCGCGCAGAGTTGATGTTTAGGACGTAACATTTGGGACAAACAACCGACCCCCCCCTCCACTCCCCCCAACCCAGCACAATCAGACTCGCATAGGTCGGATTCCTTCAGTCGCCACAGATTTTTTTTTTTTCACAACCACAAAACACAACAACAAATCTCTCACAGGCGATGAGAAACAGAGAGCTGTGCGCGTGCTCTTCGCTGTGATGTTGTCACCCTTACCCCAGAAACAATTATCGGAAAACATTTTTTAGATGTTTTTTTTTAAACATTTTGGGATTTTTTTTAGATTTTTTTTTTGCAAGTGCGCATCAATGATTTGAAGCGAAGTTCGACGCTGCGAATGAAACGGTTTTCCCGGTGAGTCCCTCCGGTGTTAGTGTGCCGGCCGGGTCTCGTCCAGGTCAGACCGGGAAAAGGCTGCGTGGGCTCGGGTCACGGACACAGCCTCGGACCGCTCTCCACATCACCGAGTCCACCTTCTATCGACAGACTTTGAAGGTATTGAGGGTTTTTCTGGTTCGGTGGAGTCACCTTGCTCTGGCCAGATTGACCACGCGCTCTCTCTCTCTCGAGCTGCCCCCCCCCCCCCACTAACCCCCCCTCCCACATCTCAAAGCTGTCATCCAGAGCAGCACTGAAAGCGCGGCTCAACCCCCTAAACGCCCGGATGAGAGAGGCAGGCGACGCACAGGGCTACGCGGTCGCATGAGTCGCGGAGGGGCAACCATTCCGGGGGAAGTCAGCCAGTCAGTCAGTCAGCCACTGTCGGAATCTGTGACATTTTCGA